TGCTGGTAGACCCTAGATCGATATCTGTACTTTCCCAGACGTTGACGTTATCGGACGGTCGAAAGACTAATGGACGCATTAAACGCTAGTGGAGCTGCAGCAAGGTGTGAACGCAGCTTCAAGAAGCTCGCTTACCAGTAACACAACCTATGACCGCTGTGACAGATGCTATGCGAATTGCTTCGCGGAATGCTGACACCATGACAGACTCGTACCCAACCGCGAACATGCCAATAATGGTGTGCATGAGACCCAGCTGAAAAGTTCTAATTATTCCTCAAACAATGGGTTGAGCTATTGAAAGACGGACACCGCAGCCAACCTGTCCGTAGGATTACTCCCTTCCCCAAGTAGTTTGGGCGTAATCGCGAAGAATGTCCAACCTTCGCGGCGTCACAGAGAAACACGAGAGCGCTGCGGCCATCATAAGTAGCAGTAAGATACGGTATGACGTGACGTGATATATAAGTGCAACTTGATGGGCGCAGCGCCCTCGTCATTTACGGAGGAGATGCAAAAGGAGGCAAACTGTGAGATGCGGACTTCTTGGGCACCGAATGAATCCTGTTGGTTTGGCGCGGGATCTTTTTGAAATTCCTTCACCTGTGTCACAGCGCCAGAAAAGTTGAGCTGGAAATCGTTGCGAAATATGGATGAAAACGCCGACATTACAGCTGACTGAATAACCAAGCCTACTAGAAATCTGCAAACCATCCTCATTATATCAAATATCAATAATATACATATTCAAGCTGAGGGAGAAAAAAATAGGTAGACAGTACTTCTCATCTGAAGGAAATCGCGTCATTTTCATGATTGCAATGGAATGAAGAACATTGTAGATCAGAACTGAGCTAAAACAGAGCCACGAATCTGTGCTTGTCCAGGGTACTCGTTGCAGCTGCTCAGCTAAATTGTACTACTCGTCAATTTGAAAGACTGCAAATATAGAGGGAAAAAGCAAGAGAAGAAAAAAGTTGTAGAGAAGTCTAAACTAGGAATTACCCTTGCTAAGGAATTTCAGCAGCATCCCAAGATATACCAAAAGAGAGAGCTCCCAAAACGATGCTCGAGAACCACGTCGACAACGAAAAGGTGGAAGAAAGTGCATCTAAATAATCAAGCAGGGTTGCCACTAATGAAAAAAAATGTTTACCGAAAAAAATGCACAGGGGTAGGGTCGTTATCCGTTGAAAGGTAGGAGACGACATGCCATCTAACGTTAATGGGATGACGCTCCACATAAGGGTGCGTTATGCGGGTGCGTTCATACTTCGCGATCTAATAGCGAAGTATGAACGCGCTCTAGTACTTCAGTAAAGGTAAAGCTGGACGCTCGTTTAGTTGTAGGGAGCCACGCAGCGACAGTAAGCCGCGGTGACCATATTCGTCCACTCTCTTTTAAGCCTGAATCCGGGGATAGGAGACTACTGTCTTAGTGGGAGGAAGAACTCGCACAATCAGAGTCCCATTAATTCCCGTTCTTGAAGACTGTCCCTTCAACTGCGTCAGCGCCAATGTCTGTGTTGTCTCACACAATGACGCCTCAAACACGTCGTTAACGTGTTACATGACGTCAGTGACACGTCATCTACTCCTTTACGGGTAATGTACTGGACCGCGAGCCATTGTTGCTTCACGTAAAAGAAAAAAATGTAATAGGTACCACTGAAAAAATGCAGCGGTGATAGTATTGAGAACTGCAGAACAATAAGGGATACGAAGAAAAGGAAAGCACAAATGACGCTTGCACATGCTGAAGCCCTCAGCTGACGATTTTCGATCTGAAAAAAGAATAATATTAAAAGTACACCATGACGTTCTCAAAATCGGAAGGAAAACGAACCATCCCGAGAAACCAGTCCAAAACTTTGTCGTGAACAGTAGGTAATCTTTGAATCTGCTGCGGACTTGGACCTGCGCGAGCTCCTCTCTGATCCACTTGTGGCTTGGTTGGGGAGAAGAACGAATCCTCATCGAATGTGGACCTATACCTTTGCAATTCCATATCAAAGTGATTGAAAATTGAAGATAAAACATTAAAAGCTCGAAAGTAGTAAAAACCATACGTTAAAATCAGGAACCTTCGCTCACCTTCTACTCAATGATGCTAGCGGCGACGTCGCCGCCTCACCAAAAACCGACGGCTGATGGGCGCAGTCACCCAGCATTACGATCTGAAAGCTCTAAGCGATAAGAGTGCGTTCACACTTTGCCTTTTGGGAAGCGTCCCGGGAGGATAGAGGTAAGATGTTTGGAGACGTGCGCAAGGAATTGACTAGTTTCGATCGGTGAGGGCGCTAGCGGTTTGGAGAATTAGGGGGATGGCGAATCGAGCGAATGAATTGGCGATCGAGGATCCCTTTTTGAGAAGCCCATTTCGGGGTGGGGGCGCGCATTGGCCTAATGTTACTTTTCTTTTTTCTTTCACAAAAAAAAAAACAAAAAAAAATATATTGGTCGCCGCCTGGGAGGGATCCTCTTTCGCGGTGAAATGGAGGTATTTGCCAGGTTTTTTTCCAGTGTCCAGTGATTTGTCAAATTTTTTTCAAAATTACAGGAGTTTACGTTTATATGTTGTATTACCCCTGGAAAGGCAGTCGTCGAATTTTATATAGATCTCCTATTTAGTGTCTTGAGAGTGAATTTGCAGAAGACTAACATTTCAATTGCACAATATAGTGTTACGAGTGTCTCTTCTCTCAATTTCGCTACTACGCCGCTGCTCAGTTTCACATGTTCCTTGTTTCCTAGGTCTGTCAGGATGCGTTTGAGATTTTCATTCCTGGCTTCGGGCGAACGCCCGCCATTGTGGGCGATGCTTTGGTGAGCTATTGTGTGCTGTGCAAAATGCTGGTTCGCTGCAGTTATTCGCAAGCCAATCTGTACCCTAAAGTAAATTTCCCACGAACGCCAATTTTTCAGGTGGTCACACACATAATACAACACACACAGCTTCTCGTTTATATATAGAGAGATTACCCAGCGCGAGAAGTTATGAACGCGGTCTTATAGCTAGTACTGCTATGCTTACCACGGGTGATAGCAAGAATTTCGAAAGGAACTAATTACCTTATTTTCTGAGATATAAGGCGTACTCGTGTGCAGGGCGCGCCTTCCTCTCGAGTTTTTCAGGATTTAATTCTGTGATTTCTGTCTGTTCTTCTTAATGTGAGCAATATGTTTCAGATAAAAGTAGCTAGAACACAAAAGACGACTAAAGGAACAGTTCTGTGTTTAGAAACGTTTGTGCGTTGGCTGCTAAGCACCCAGATGCGCCTTATCCCTCAGATAATGGGGTAACATTAATTTCGCATAACATTACGCTTTGAGTAGCTCACACACTTCCCTTGTTCTCACCTACAACGCAACAAATCTGACTACGGACCCCAGTTCGCAAAAAATTGCTTTCCCAATGGATAAATGCAACTTCAAGTGTTATCACCACTCATGTCCTTGAAGAAATATTACTCCGAGCTAACACTCACAGACAGAAGTCCCAGAAAGACGGCTTACAATGCTAAAAATGCGAAGAACAAAATTTCGAATTTCAAAAATATCGTAGAACGGCGGACAGTGTACGCTACACAAGAAAGCTCCTACCGTAACCTTTATTCACTACAAGGGCGCTTATCAAGCGACGTGGATGGAGTCCTGGTGTGCAAGAATAACGCTGGACTAAACGTTTCTAAAAGCTGGAAGTCACAAAATGACCCCTTCTGATGACTTTCTGAATTGAGGAACCCTGACAAAATGAGTCAGGGTTCCTTAAGTCAGAGAGTCATCAGAAGAGGTTGACGGTCTCGAAAGGGAGAAGTTAGGTGTCTTGGAGGTTTTGGAGGGAACTTAAACCTTTGAACAAGCTGTGCTTTCAACTCCGAAAAAGGTCTCGCCATGTGCAAGAAGTGCGTAATAGCATCGGTACAAGTGCAGTATTTTCGTCGCTTGGAAGCGCGCGAAATAAGAACGAAGTGTGGTGATGCCTGGGTGCCGTTCCATTTTTCACC